TATCGTCTATCATATATAACAAACATTATTTGTTTACAATACAAATCAAAAAATAAGTAAATATTATCTATACTACGCATAAGTACAAATATGTACATCATCGATTTTAAAAACTGATGACTAAATAACAGCTTAACCAAGTACTGATTAACACAAGCCGCTATTTTAATGACAAACTGATTACATTACCACCTTGGAGGCCCATGAATAACAGGTCCTGGTGGTGGGGGGATACCACCCGGAGGAGGTAGGTGGTGATGTGGCGGAGGTCCATGAGGCCCTGGTGGTGGAGGACCGTGGTGATGTGGAGGAGGGCCATGAGGCCCTGGTGGTGGAGGACCATGGTGATGTGGAGGAGGACCATGAGGTCCTGGGGGTGGAGGCCCGTGGTGATGTGGGGGTGGTCCATGAATTGGTCCTGGGGGTGGAGGTCCGTGGTGGTGGTTACCTGTGATAAATAATGATGATGACGACTTTGACCTAATAGAGATCTAAACATGGCCACCGATTCAAATAACTGTCTTAATAAAAAAATATTCTGAGCAGAGAAAACAGTTGTGTTGATAAAAATGTGTTAGACATTAAAACCATTTCTGAAGTATTTTGACATATGCTTGTGGAAAAATAATCGGTTCAATATCATTTAAGAAAAATTGTGTATATTGTACGTGTACGTATATACAAGGTGTTCCAAGCAGACGGGTTTCTTCAATAACTTATTTACAGTTAAAAATATCAAAAAAGTTTCTGACAAAAGTGGTACCATATCTTCATATCCTAAAATTATTTTCGATTACACAGAGTGTCCCGTTTATCCTGGAGGCAACTTAATTTCATTTTTTCAAATGGAATTCCCCTTTTATTATTGCATATTTGAATTTCCCGTTACATTTAAATACCACTTTGTTAACCATTTATTATGTCTAAAATGCACCAATTTCCATAAAATTCGCACTAAATAAATAAATAGGTTGTTGCAGTGCTCTGCGTCATTTTGAATATCTCCGAAACAAAACCATACAGAGGTGTGCTATTTTCACACATAGCCTGTGGAAGAAAAAGCCTACTATTTGTTCTTTTGAAATTCATTGAAGTCTATCACTACCAAAACAAATTGTTTCGAACTGGCATAACTATTTTTTATGGAATGCCATACTTTTTGTCAGCTCATCATGTGCAAATTTTTTTATAATGCCAATTCATATCAGAATATCATGTGCCTTGGTCAGCGATTCGCTTTTACCCACCTTTGCTTCCTACGAACATCAATTCCGTATGCTTAAAAACGTGTTGAGTAACGTTTCGTTTTATACGTTAATTTCTGAACTACCTAACTATGGCTTTGAGTGAAGATAAGAGGACAGATACAGATATTCATTTCCATTCGAACATACAGTTTTAGGGTACTTTCTAAGTGCAGATTTCACTGTTTCGCTGTTAAAAACCCACTGTAGCACCCTGCGGAAAGCATCTACTCGATGATTACGAATGTTTGGATATCGCTGAGCATACACTTAAGATGCCAGGACTGGTTTTCGCCCGCATTCCCCAAGGACAAAACCAAGTTTATCTTTACTCAAGGTCATAGACTAGGCACTGGGCAGTTCAAAAATTAACAACGTATAAAATGTTACTCAACACTATCTAAAACACACGGAATTGACGTTCGTAGGAAGCAAAGGTTTGTAAAAGCGAATCGCTGACCAAGGCACACTTGATATTCTGATATAAATTGATATAAAAAATTTTAATTTTCTTAAAAAATGTTAGTCGTAGATAGTAACATCCTTATATTGGACGAAAGGAAATAAAATTTTGCACATGATGAGTTGACAAAAACAATTTATATTCAAAGTGGTAGATTTCAATGAATATGAAAAGTACATGTTTATGTTAATAGTGCAAATAGTAGGCTATTTCTTCCACAAGCTATATGTTTAAAATAGCACACCTCTGTATGCTTTCAATTCGGAAGTATTGAAAGAGGTGCAGAGCACTGCAACAACCTATTTATAAATTTATTGCAAATTTAATGGAAATTGGTGGATTTTAGACATAATATATGGTTACAAAGTGGTATTTAAATTTGCCTCGAGAAAAAACGGGACACTGTATAATCGAAAATAATTTTAGAATATTAAGATTCTTATATGGTACCACTTTTATAAGAAACTTTTTCGATATCTTAACTGTAAAGCAGTTATTGAAGAAACCCGCTTGCTTGAGACACCCTGTATATATAACTGCAGAATATAGATGCTCCTTACTTGAGGAAGCCTAAATTTTTAATAATTACATGAACTATAGTTGGGACGTTTAAAATTGGCATAGTCTGCAATAAAACTGTCGCATTTACTTCCTTCTCTCATTTTACTAATTAAACTAGACCGGTTGCTGGTAGAACGCCTAGTTCTACTCATAAATATCGTAAACATAGAAAAAAAATGTCAGGTAGAAACTGCAGAACACTAATGAAGAAAAAGCTACAACATTACACCAATTAATGTGTAACAGAAAGAGATGCAGACAAGCAGAATTTGAGCATGTTGTCAGCATCGGACTTCAAATAAAGTTCAGCAGTGTCAGGAATTTAGAAAAGCAAAAAAGCTTGTTTAAAGATATAATTCCAACCAGGCAATTATAAAGACGATCCTGATCTTTAACGTACCTATGCAACCTACTCTAACAGCTGCAAAGCTTACTTTTATTCGGTTATCTCTTTTCACATTGTCTGTCCTACTAATGATCATTTCCTAACTTATCAAGGGCGTCTTCAAAACGCAACAAATTACAACAGTCCCAAGTGGAAACAAAAAAGAAGATACGTCGATTCTCGCAGATAATTTATTGCGAACTTTACCAATTTTGATCGTCCCGACTATAAATATCTACTAACAGCGAAGATTGCAATTGTAAGTACAATCAAATGAGGCTAACAACAATGGAATGGTCACAAATTTTAATTATATTTTAAGATAAAATGAAAATTTTAACAACACATAAGTGCTTATTTAAAAACTGAATGTCGTTCTTACCTGGTGCAGGCATTGTAATTGATTAATATATCTATTTCCACACGACTTAAAATACCGACTTTCGATGATTATCCACACATAAATATATCGAAACTGCTCTTTGTATCTTATCTCATATTAGATAATAATATAAAAATAAACATGAACATATAGAATTTATTTTATGCGTCGTAATTATCGTGTAAATTCGAACAGATATGATCAATATATCTGATGATGTCACTTACCAAATAATAGTATCTTAAGCCTTAACTTTCACTTTAAAAGGATTAGTTTACCGTAATCAAAAATTCCAATTATTCACGTAGTAAATTATATTTGAAAAGATCAGTAAGCTATTCCAAAAATTTTACTGGGATATCAAGGTTCGTATTTTATCATCATCATTAGGTCGTCAGGTTTATGACTGGTTGGGCACGCACCTCCACTCTTTCCCATTCTGCGCTAATCTCATTTTCCTAAAGCTAGAACAACCCATATCCTTAACTATTTGTGAACAGTAATCTAATCTAGGTCTACCTCCCCTAACTTCCGTTTCTGCCTTAATATGTCTCTGACTAGACCTTCATGCCTAAGAAAGTGTCCTACTAACCTAACCGCCTATTTCTTATTGACTTCAATAGAATCCTTTGCTCTCTTACTCTTTCTAATATCTCTTCATTTCTAATCTTCTCGGTCCACGGAATCCTCATTGGCCTGTAACACCACATTTCGAACGCTTCTAACCTTTTCTTTTCTGTTCGTATTATTCCTTTTTTTTTTATTTAACTTTTTCGGATGTTTCACTCCCACCATTTTTATTTGGCTATTTTTTTTATTTTAACAGCTCTGTTTCATTTAGTTAAATCCCAGGTCTAACAATTTTTGGTTCTTTACTTAGCAAGATAGCTCCCGAATTACGTTTTTGACATTTTTGATCTTTCACAATAAAGTAGTGATTGTTGTACTATTTATATAAATTTGGCTAACCTTCATGATATTTTGAATATTTTTAATTAACGATTAATGTAAATCAAAGGTGAACATTTTTTCCTTAAATTGGACAATCAACGGTGGTGGAAAGGCAGTCCCTCCGACCTACACTGTGGTGCACAACCGATGGCGGAAGGTCCTCATCAGCCTCGTTTTAGGAGCTATAGGAACGGGTAGGTGATGATGTTTAAGATAAGGAAGATGAGACGGACAAAATGAAGGCAGAAAAGAAGTTCATTTACCTAAATGATTCAAGGAAACCACAGCGAAGTACCTGGGAGGTTATTCCATGGTTTATTTTGTTTAACGTGGTGAATATTACCACGGCCCCCGGGCGCAGGATTGAAATACAGTCAATCGATCAGCACACGATGACTGGAGCCACCGCTACAGTTTCTCCTAGAGTCCAATCTTAAACGGCTGGGTAGGCAAGAGCCGAAAGCCCCCGAACATCCCATAGTACCATCTTTATCACTGATCGGATGTTCGAGGAACGATTTTGGCTATCACTAGCCTAGAATACTAGTGCCAAATACTTCACTGAATACTTATCAATGATCTAAACCTCTAGGTCACACCGGCCGCTTGCTAAGGTTTCGTAGAAAATAGGGAAACCTATATAATTGCAGTCTGTTTAAAGTTAATGTACGGAATATACATTTAGAATAATAACCTTAACTTGGAAAATCGCAAAACTATTTAGAACCTGCTAAATTAAAATTAAACTTCCTAAACATTTATAAAACAATGCAGAAAGTTAACGTTACACAAATTGCTGCCTTATGAGTAGAATAATAACATAAAAATTATTTTGTTTATGTTTGTAAGTTACAGTTAATCCTTTATCAAATCGGTAAAAATATTTTGTTAAATAACAACCGCAAAAGCATAAAATTTATTGGTTGTAGAATTCAAAATAAGCTTTGACATTGTATGAGTTAGGTCATAACCGATACATATAAATTGCGTCAATCATTAGTTATTAAAAAGGAATTTTTATTATCAACAACAAATATTTATTTATTTGCAAGTGAAAAATACAACAAGTAAGTAAATACACAGTATCATACACGTACACCACACATGCGTGTATTTTACATTGCACACAGACATAAAAAGATTACATCGTCGATTATAAAAACAGATAATTAAATAATATTTTATCAGAAATTGATTAAGGTAGGCTGCTTAGCATCCTGGAGGCCCTTGAACAACTGGTCCAGGCGGAGGGGGAACTCCACCAGGGTGAGGAGGCCCATGGCTGGGTGGAGGTGGATTGTGACCGTGAGGAGGAGGCCCATGAACAATCGGTCCTGGAGGTGGAGGTCCATGATGGTGTAAAGGAGGTCCATGAACATTTGACCCTGGGGGTGGAGGCCCGTGGTGATGTGGACCTGACGACATTGACATAATTCAAAGAACGTTTGATTCGTTTATCCGCGTGTCAGAGCTTTGGCTCATATTTAAAATAAAAGTAACACAAGTACGTACAGGATATAAATCTTAATTGCAAACATTAATTTCGATCTATAAAAGAAATGTGGTAAGAATGTGCTATAGAAAGGGTAAAAGCAAATTATTTGTATAACAAAAATATTTTATTAAAATAAAATTAAATAGCGGTCATCCTTTTTCTGAAGAGACTAGCTAACATATTCTATGTTTGTATTTTTGTAAACTTGTTTGTATGAAACCAGAGTAAAAAAGTATTATCACTTTCAATTGTTTTGGCTTTTATTATGAGCAGTACGCCTACTGTATACTAAGTTAACTAAAACATAGTTAATAAAAATAAATAAAATGTGGTGGACTTATTGGCCGTTGGTTCATTAAATAATAGAGTTCAGTAGTTTAGGAGAAAATCGACACTGCTTGCTTGAAATTGCGTAACAACATCAAATAAATAGTAATAGCAACAATAAGCTTTTATTATTATATATTGTAATAATTGTACAATATTTTTTTGGTAATTCTTTCTACTCTACTATGTTGCTGCAAAGAAGGGATTATGTTTTTCTCGCGTTTCTTGGTATATATGATCAATATATAATTATGGGATTCTTTATTTCCTCGAAACATCCAAACGAAAATGGATAAATTTTAATCAATGAGATAGAGCATATTCTTTTGTCTAACCGTGAATCTTGAATCGCTCCTTTAATACTCGGGAATTGATTCTAATGCATTCGATTTGAATCAATTCAAAGACTGATTTGTTCAGAATAAATCGACAAGCCTAATTCGATGATAACAGACTTGGCTTCGTTTTTTTAAAATCAAAATGGCAGTCGTAAAATACAAAATGGCGGTAGAGTCGAAAAAAATAATTGGAGCAACTTAGTGACTGGCATATCTCTGAATAGATCATTCAGCTTCTAACGCTATTTTACACGTATAAGCTCCGTTTAATAATTCATACAATCTGAAAATTGTGTATTTAGGATTGTAGGACGAATTTATTAGATACGAACATAAATAAGCCTACTTAAGGTCTCATCAGAACAGTATTTATAAACAAGAATTAACAATATATCAAAATAAAGATTCAAATTTAAATAATCAAAAAACCTAATTTTTTTAAAGATTTTCAATTTGCCCTTATACCTAGATCTTGTTTCCATCTTTTTTATTCGCCTTTTTTATAGTCGGATTATTTTGATTTTTTTAATTTAAATTTTTATTATATGCATGGCTGCCCCATACACATCTCGTTGTTGTTTTTATTTACCTATTCATATACCTTTGTAGAAATGCAAACATCTAGTAAGCGCATGATATACTATTAATTATGTGGATATGGAATTTTATTCTTTTTCTTGTTCTCTTTTATATCAAATTCAAGCAATAGCAATATCATTATGATTAATTAGCTTAAGCTAAAGGGCCAAAATTTACAAAAATTTTGAATTTTTTGGAAAAATTAAAAATAATACCATATTCTATTTAAGTATGTTACTGTATGGTGAGTCAAAGCTATTAAGTAAAGTATGGACATTATTGAAGTTGTAATTAAAAGCATTTTTGACTAAACTTCAAATAAATTTTCCCATTTTGACATTGGCCCTTTTAGCTGCAAGCCACAGAAATTCGATTTAGCACGAAATCCAAATTTCAAAAAACTTAAATACCTATTTAAAAAACTGGATGGCGTTCTTACCTGGTCCAGGCATTGTTTATTGTCGTAGATTAATAAAATTTATTCACCAGGCTAATAACTCTGCACACTTTAATACCGACTTTCGATTTTTATCCTCATATAAATACATCAAAATTAATACGTTGGTATCTTATCTCGTAGTAGATAATAAAATGAAAATAAATATCAACTTTTTTCCACACATCTTTATTATCGTTGAGATTCGAACAGTTTGTTGCCAATATATCTGATGATGTCATTGTAATACCGGCAATACATTGGTATCTTATTAACAGTTAACACAAGCCCATACGAAAAACCCAAACATACGATTGGTCAACGAAGTACATCATCACTTTAATAGAGCTTTAGCATTTAAAGAAATGGCGCATCGTTACAAAACATTTACAGAGGAACTGAGGTTTGAAAAGGACGATAGTTAAAATCTCTAAATCATTCATTTATGACTAAAAGCAAATCGGTAATGTGTTTAGCAAGGCCAATCAGTGCAAAAATTTTAAAGATCGCATTTCGAGCATTCTTGATTTCAAAATGTTGTTCAAAGATTTTTGAAAAATGAGTAGAAAAACTTAATTTGCCATCCTCCACTCCACTGCTTTGGAATTTTGGTGCGCAAAGACAGTTTTAACATAAACGTTATTATTACTTTTTTTTGTTTAATTACCAATAACAGAAATTCGATGTTGTCTGTATTCTGTCGAAATTTTCCAGACACGGATCGCGATTTCGATCTTGTTGGATCTCATCAGCTCGTCGTAGACTGTTTCGACAGAACACAGACCAATTTTACCTGCTGTCTTAACAGCGCGTTTTATAAAATCCCACAAATGGCGCGGTAAACGCCATCTGTAGTACAATGCTACATTTTAAGATCACGTATGCTCAACAAGTTCCATTTAAATAAATGGATATCTACTTGCGTCAGGCCTGTAGTTAATTAGTTTGCCCATAAGGACATCCTTTACACTTTACAGAAACGCGTCTGAAAAAAGAAATGCTGATACATAGTAAGAATAGTGTATATATAATACAAAGTAAGGATTCTTTATTGATTTTTTTTATACATATAAATGATATAAAGGTGATACCTTTAATTTGAAACATGATGCATATAGATATTCACGAAATTCATGGCGAATTGGTTCCACAGAAAAAAGAGTTATAACGGCAATTGCCTGATAGCGAAGACGATAGTGATATTGATGATACTGATATCAATACAGGGTGTTTCTGAAATAAGTAGCAAACATATAGAGCAAGAAAACTAAGTAAATGATTGGTGGTCCGAAAGTTCACCGTTTTCATGAAAAATGTGTCTATTTGAAAGTAGAGGCAAGTGCTGGTAGATCACGTAGGAAAATATGACAATGCAACGCCACATTGAACATAGGTGTTGCATTTCGTTTCTATTTTTGTATTCATGCATTGTTCGTTATCGGAATTGAACTGGCGTCCTCCCGAATGCTGAGCAATCGCCTAAACCTCTAGGCCATGCCGATCGGTCTCCACTCGATCTCGCTACAACAATTTATAGAGATTACCCGATCCAGAATGTTCCAATATATACCTTATAGAAACCTGGTCTTCTATGGCAATATGTATGTTGGGTTGCCTACAATGCAATTATCTTTAAGGTGATTAATGGCACGAACATTCACATCCAGGTTAAACTGTACAAAATCTTAATTGTAAGATGTTTCTTCAATTTGAAAAAGCTGAGGCAATTTATAAAAGTTTGTTTCAAGCTTACATTTCTACATGAGTGAAACAAATGGAAAACCTTTAAAAATTTTATTTTTAAACAAACACAAATATGATAAGATTAATCACACAATTGGTATAAACTTATAATACGTGCAAAATGTATCATCGGTTCTAACAGGTGATTATTTCCAGGTTACTTAGAACCAGTAAAAGTTGTCTGCGATCCTACGAACAAATTAAGTAGGTAATTTACTACTGTGGAGGAGCATTAAGAACTGGTCCAGGTGGAGGTGGAACATCATAAGAAGAGTCATGACCATGTAGGGGTGGCCCGTGACTTTCAGGAGGTGGCCCATGAGTATAAGGAGGGGGTATTCCATGTGTATGAGGTGGGGGTATCCCATGAGTATGAAGAGGGGGTCCAAAACATTGTGGCGGAGGTCCGTGACTATGTGGGGGAGGCCCGTGAACGTTTGGCTGTGGAGGTGGAGGGTAGTAGGGCGGTGGAGGACCGTGATGATGCTGCTCTGAAAGCAAATTATAATGATATTAACATGATCAGTGAGCAACGACTGCATATGCAGTGACCCAGTTAAAACAAAATCAAAACATTTAATTTTCCTACAGTTCTAACTTTGTATAAATCTAATCATAGCTATCAATTGATGAAAGTGCAGAAGTATTCAGCCGAATCGAAATTACATACTAACAATGGCACAGAGAAATAAATGCGCGAAATTGAATTACTTCTATTTTGTTGTGTAAAACAATGTGAAATAATGTTATAGTAATCCTTAAAGTAAATTTTTGAAGGTTGAAGGTGTACCATCCCTATGACCCGTTATGATTTATATGCAGATAATTACATTATATTAGCAGAAATGCAGATATTTAAAAAAATTGAAATGATTTCTTACCTGACATTATCTTTGTTTAGCAAAATTTATTCAGCGGTCTGATTCTACACTGTAATACCAACCTTCAACGATTGCATACATATAAATAGATTGAAATTGCTCTTTATATCTTATCGCCCTTTGGATAATAAGATTAATAATGTACAATTTATTTCGCACGCATTTTTATATTCATTAGACATAAATATATCGAAACTGCTCTTTGTATCTTATCTCATATTAGATAATAATATAAAAATAAACATGAACATATAGAATTTATTTTATGCGTCGTAATTATCGTGTAAATTCGAACAGATATGATCAATATATCTGATGATGTCACTTACCAAATAATANTAGATTGAAATTGCTCTTTATATCTTATCGCCCTTTGGATAATAAGATTAATAATGTACAATTTATTTCGCACGCATTTTTATATTCATTAGTCTATATTATTATCAGTGAAATTACCCTATTTTTTTGGCAAGCTCTGCTGTGAAGATTTTCCTTTCCTTATTTCTAATACCATTTAGATGAAAGAATTTACGATCCAAACCGAAGCACAGTTATTCAAGACTTTGCAATATTGTTTTGACTTATTAGGCCATTATCAACAAGTTGAATTGAAACTTCTCAAACCTGTCAAAACAAAAATTAGTTTGTATATCTCAGAAACAAAAAATACTTAAAGGAATGCCGTTTCCAAGTCTGTTTCTGAAAGGAAAAGCCTATCACTTACACATACGTGTGATGTAGCAAATACTTTTTAAATATATATCGAACTTGTGTATGCCAATATTTACAAATTCAATCAGGAAAGTACCGCTTTGGAGGCGTCCGGACCCTAGCACTACCGAAAACCAACGCGCCCCTCTCTGTCGGCACCCTCTCCAATCGAGCTGACCCGATGTATACCGATAACCACCCATATTAAATATAAAAGTTTTCCCTAGTTGGAACATTGTATCCCTTCCCCCCTGTCAAATTATTGGCAACTACTTCCGACCTCCCTGACGAATACCTCAATTACCTGGATAACCTACCCAACTCCCTAAAATAACCCCACACACACATATACACACCTAAACACACACACACACACACAAACGCATTCTCAAAACAACAATCACATTAAACTCTGAAAAACAATTGGCTGAAGAGGGCCTTGATTGATCCTTTAAGAGGTAGAGGGGTTTTAGTCGGTAGGTCCGAGGACATCTTCCTCGGGAATCCGACACTACGCAGTCGTACAGATGGCTTGAAGATTTCCCCTCTTCCACGAAAACAAAAAAAAAAGGAACATTGAAGACCAAACCTCTCGACCTTTATCACAGGCGTTCTCAATGCCAAACAAATATTCTGGGGCTGCCGACCTAATGATAAAAAAGGCATTTCCCTTCTTGCCAACTCTCTTGATTCTCTCCAATATCCCACGCACTTCCCGGAATGTCTCAGTTACCTTCCAGATATCCATTCTTCTCCACCTTCCTGTCCTAATCGAAATCGGCCGCCCAACTTACAACCCCTCCAAAGCTAATAACCTCATTAGATTAGCTACATTTCCAATACACCCTTGAGATATCTTCATTTAAGTGCACTCAAATTTTCACAATAGCGGAACTCGATGAAGCTGTAAATCTCAATTGAAACGAACTTACCAGCGCCGTCGAGCACTCCACAATCTCCCGCCCCTCCTCCTTATCCTCTCCAATCGAAACTTTCCTCAGACATTCTTCAATTCGTTAAGAGGAAAAACAAGACCCGCCGTCTGTGACCCCGCACACCGTGCCAAATTAAATGTCCTTTAGTGAGAACTCAAAATTCGCCTCATCGAATTCCGTAGCGCATCCTTCGACGATTATATCACTCAGGCAAAAACACACTCCCAAAGCACTTGGAAAGTGATTCGCTAGTGCTCCCCATTGTCTACCTCTCCCCCTACTTTTCAGTCGAGGAAGATGCTGCGAACTCTGTATGCCTTCAATGTCGACGCTTTATCAAGAGGTTCGCGAACCTCGTCCGGTCTCTTAGCCGGCTGACCTTTTTGGACCTCTCTCAAAGTCCAAACTGCTAGTCGATGGACCGAGCTATTACCAATACCATCCGCTACTGCAGAATTCTGTGCTATTATCATCTTGGAGGAGCTCGTTCTCCAGTATGACACCCCGAACCAATGATTGGTGACAATGGGACTCAATTCGTGAAGTGATGCAATATCTGGCCTACACCTTAGGAATCACCCAGAATCTTACTTCGATTTAACATCTAGCCGCCAATCCGGTAACGAGAAAAAAATCGGGATTAGAAGATTCAACTTGCCATTACAACTCCCGTGGACCAGGCCCAATGAAACGAGATCCTACCCAGTGGCCGATTTGCTTTAAACGCCGATTGCAGCTGAACAGGTTTCATGCCCGCCTACCTAACGTTCAGAAGAGAACTGCGCACCTCCGATGACGCACAGCGAGATCTTCGAACCATAGATAAAACTGACAATTTCATGTTGGAAATTACCCGCGTTTGCCAACTTTACCTCACGTAGTGTCAGGCCTGGGACCAGCAAGAAGTACATCAAAATCGTCACAAGGAATATGCCGATCGTCTTTGACGTCCGCTACTACCTACCGACCATGCTCGAAGTAAGGTTCAGAAAAACTTCTCTGCGAAGCTAGTTCCCCGTCGGGATGGACCCTACGTAATTTTGAATCAGAGAGAGCCTAATAGCTTCAAGATTGCTGCTACAAAGAACCCAGGGGAAGTGGTCGGAGTATACCATGCCTCCGCCCACACCCCTTTTGTCGAAACCGAAATGCAGCTCCTCAAATTCCCATTCGAAAGAGAAGATGACCCAAGAAACAGAAGTCCCAGTCATAGTCCCGAGACGTCCGCCGGTGACTAAAGACTGAGCTTTGTTCGAATTTCACTTTTACCGCCATTCAGCCCCGGATAGTTTCCTGACGCATCGTAGTACCTCTTTAGAGGACGCTTAAGTCCAGTTTTTTAAATGGAATACTCTGTTTATATTATGTAGAATTTTTGTTCTCTTTCGAATGGGGCTATGGTTCTCCATACCCATCTTTTATAGTTTTCGAATTACTGCTCCTTGTGAAAGCAACTAAATTAGACTAATCAATGCTTCATAGGCGTTGTCTTCCGGGATGTCGAGGCAATTATGATAAAACCCCTAAAGTAGTTGTTTTCGGTGTTCCAACAGCAGTTGATCTGGGTAACAGGTGGATTCACGCCATTCCTCGCAAAAATCTAACTGTTACTAAATCCAGTAAAGTTTACAAATTACATTCTGTGAAAGATAGTGTCATCTGCATTTCAACTGCTCAGGATTCCAAAACAGGTAAAATTATTGTCATAAATTTGAAATATCCTAAATTGAAGCTAGGAGCGGTACCTACTCTATTTCCCAATTGTCCTGATTATCTGTCAACAAATATTCACACGCGATTGAGTAGAGACAAACAGTTAAACAATATTGAAACGAAAAAAATTTTTTGCATGCAGTAGAACAAAGTAAAATTGATTTTAAAGTATATGAGAAATCAAAATTGTAGACGATGAAAAAGTAACGATATTTAAATTAATATACTCGCTTGGACTTGTTATTACTTACTCCCTTATAAAAAACTTCGAATTAAAAGTGCAAACGTTTTTAAACGGAATAAGAATTCCATTTTCAGTGGGGAATATCAAAATTCTGTTTATATCAAAGAATATAAACGAAATGGAGTCTTTGTTAACAGAAATAGATAAGCATGATGCAGACAAAGTAATCACCGATACCAAAAATACTGTTTTGCAGCATGTTACAGTTTTTAATGGAATCGATATAATGTGAAGAAAACCAGCTTGCCTTAAATTTTATTTGTGAGCAACTAAAATTGCACATATCTCTAAGGAAACATTCCGATATTCGAATAATACTTTACTACTACTACTACCGCTACTTTTTAATCTATACGCATCGAAGACGCCATCATCATCATTAAAGACAGTACAACGGTAGGGTTAGATGTGCAAGGGCAAAAGATTAGTATGCTTAGATTTGCAGATGATATAGCAGTATTAGCATCTAGCAATGAGAACCTAGAGATAGCTTTAAATATAATGGAAGCGGTACTGACAGATCAGTACTGTATGAAAATAAATAAAAGCAAAATTAAAATACTGGTATGCAAGGGAAGAAAAAGTATATAAAGATAGGAGACGAAAGATTAGAAGAAGTGGCTGATTTTAGATACCTAGGAAGTCAGGATGGAAGGAGTAGTAGGGATGTTTAGAAATTCCAAAAAGGTTGTTAAAGGTGTATGTTTGCACGGCGTTGTACGGGTGCGAAACATGGACAGTGGGCGCGGCGGAAAGGAAACGGTTAAAAGCGTTCGAAATGTGGTGTTTTAGACGGACGATGAGGATAACGTGGGTAGAAAAGGTTAGAAATGAAGAGGTATTGAAAAGAATAGGAGAAAAGAGGACTCTAAGGAAGTCAATAAAAAATAGGCGAAATAGAAACAGGAGTTAGAATGGGTAGAGGTAGACGTAGATTAGATTACTGTTCGCAAATAGTTAAGGATGTGGGCTGTTCTAGTTTTAGGGAAATGCGAAGTTTAGCTGAGGATAGGAAAGAGTGGAGGTACGTGTCCAACCAGTCTTAGGACTGACGACCTTATGATGATGATGAAATAGATGAAATACAAAAACCATATTTAGACTATAAAGGAGGAAGTATTGTTGACACCGTAGTTCCTTAGCAAATTCTGCCTTTGTGTTCATGGTATCGAGTGTAAGATTGAATTTAAAAGGGGTTGTGCATATAAGTCTAACAAGTAAAACAAATAATGAACTGCTTTTTTCTTTAATAAAAACTATAATAATTAAACCGGAAGAAATTGGTTTTCGCGTATTGTTTGTGGTTACCGACAATAATGCTGTAAATAGTAAAGCAATGAGTAATTTTTCGTTAAAAACAGTTCTTTCGTTTGTTATCCCGTAGATCAATCGCAACCCTTTTTTAACCTATTCGACTCCATTCATTTACTGAAATGTATTAAAATAATTGGATGAATTCCAAACCCGATGTAATGCTGCATTATCCCGATTTTGAGACAGGTATGTA